ATATATATAAATATTATTGGCCGGTTATCGGTCGGTCAAAAACCGTATTATAACCGAAATACCGAAAAATCGACAATTTTTTAAAAATAATAACCGTGGCCGACCGATTTTTTCGGACGGTTCGGTTATCGGTTAGCGGTTATCGGGCGGTTAACTGATATTTTGCTCACCCCAATTGAAGCATGTGCTCCATCTCAACTAAAAGCCTAAGCTAATAGTTGGATTGCACATTAATGGCTATATGTTCAACACGCCCCCTTGCACATTAATGGCTATATGGACCTTTGGTCTGGCTCTGATACCAAATTGAAGCATGTGCTCCATCTCAACTAAAAGCCTAAGTAATAGTTGGATTGCACATTAATGGCTATATGCTCAACAACCCCTAGTTAAGAAATATGTTGATAAACGTGCAGTTGTGGGGGTGTCCAACAGCTTCACTACATATACATTGTGATTCACGAATCGTCGTTTGCGTTGCAAAGAATATTGTCTATGATAGAAAGAGAAGACACATAAGGGTCAGACATGAGTCTGAATGGCAGTTGATGGCTAAAGATTGATCATTGATCATAATGGAGTTTGTGAGGTCTGAGAGATCCTCTCACAAAAGGTCTAAACTAAAAAAACCATCCTTGAAATATCAAGGGAGATGGGGTTAAGACCAATGATGTAAGGAATTCATGGCGGGTACCTCTTCTGTGGTAAAACGAAATCATAAAAAGACTTACACCATATTTATGTCTTTAACCGCTCTGTAGCCTTTAAAGGTGGTCTATATTGAGATAGACTTGACAGAGTCGAAAGTCTATATTGAGATAGACTTAACAGACATAAAAGTCTATAATGCGATAAGAATTGTCAGAATTAAAAATCTATGTTGAGATAGACTTTGACATGGTGGAGGTCTATATTGATATAGACATAACAAAATTGAATACTAAGAGTATTCATAAGAAGTCAAAGAGTTTGACTTTCGTAGAACCTGCATTTTAGAGTTGGTGTGTGCATTAAAATTCAAAATTTATCTAACTGGTGAGTTCAAGATTCATATCATTTTCGGGAAGAAAATTACTCAGTTTCACTACGTGTCAATTCAAGTTCTCAACACGGACATTAAGATCAACTCGTTTGTATTGCTCAGAAATTATTTCTTTCTAGCCTTCTTTAAGAATGTGTTGAGGATTGTTGGGAAATCATTCTTTAAAGAAATGATTGTCCACAATAATTCTTGGTCATGAATTGTTAGGGAGGTTGTTAATAAACTCCCACCTTTTTCTCTCATGATTGTGACTATCCTCTATTTTAATATTTGTGGTTTCCTAGTAATTAGTTTAGTTGTGGCTAATATCTAGAGGTTAGTTAGAGCCATCTAATATATAAACCCCATTAGATTTCAATGAAGACACACCAGAAAACATTCTTCCTCTCCTTTGTCTACTTCCTTAAGTCTGAGCAATAGTCAGGTTCAGCTACGTTTAAGATGGTCTGAGCTTAGCGTGGTTATTCTGTGTTGCCTATCGAAAGTGTACCGGTTTATCTCGACTGCATCGTCACCGGGCAAAAACGCTTTTAAGGCAGTGTTATATAACACGGAACAGACTCCCTTACAGTCATACACCCGTATTTGTCCTTGTTTCCCAAAATGTTGCCAGCCCCCGCGTTGACGTTGCTTATATTTCCAACAAATAGTGGGGCATTTAAGTTTACAATTGAGCATCATGCAGTAAATGAAGCTACTTTTCGATGTCTAGATGAGCTAGGCTGGCAACCTCAGGTGTGTGATTCATTTTTCACTTGGACCAAATGATCTTGAATTCGCCCGAGTCTACGGGTGTGTTTGGTTCGCGCATAAGAATCGGAATCGGAATGGAAATCAAATACTTGGTAATGGTAATGAGTTTTGGTGAAAGTATTTTGCATGTTTGGTAGTAGGGTGGAATTAAAATGATTACCAATATTGTTGTTTAGTTATGTATGATCCTATAATGGGAATAAAGGGTTTAAAAATACAAGAACAAAAGAGTTAATTACTATTTTAGTCCATTGACAATGACAAAAGTACCAAATTGGTCATCGATTATCATTTTTGGCCAATTAAGTCCTCAACTATTGATTTTGTATCCAATTTGGTCCTCCATTAGTTTGGCTATGAACTGACCGTCTCTTTTGAGGGCAAAATGAAACTTTCACTCTTCTTCCTAATCAACTCTCTCATCCTCTCTAACCCTGGCCCTCTCCGCCCTCTGCCTAACCCTAATCGCAACCTCCGCCTCACTTTCCTGCTCTACACAACCACCACGCTCAAATTCTAAGCCAAAGCCAACTCCAAAGCATCGTTGTCGTCAACGGCGGAGCCTGACTAGCGCCTACTGCAACCATATAAATGATTAAATGATATACTTTGTGCATCGCACGGATAAAACATTAGTGGGATAAATAGACAGTAAATTTTACTGTTGACCATGGTCCATATAATAATGTCATCCATGAAGTAAGTATCATTTTAATTATGAGTTAATACCCAAAATGGTCCTCGACTATAGTGATTTATCTCAATTTCGTCCTAAACGACTTTGGTGACGTAATGTAGTTCCAGGCTTAACAATGTGTTTTTGCTCAATTTAGTTCTTCGTTTGTTATTCCGTCAAATTGGTATTAAATAAAGGGATAATTTAGTAATCTCAATATTGGCCGCTTTACTCTCAGTCCTGCAAAGTACGAAATCCATATTTCTTTCACGAATTACTCACATAATTACCCTAGAGCTGTGAATCAAATTTTATATTCGCAGGTTTGGGAATAATTAGTAAAAGAAATAAAGATTTCACACTTTGCAGGTCTAGGAGTAAAGAGATGCTAATATTGAAATTACTGAATTATCCATCTATTTAACACCAAATGGACGAAATAAAAAACGAAGGACTAAATTGAGCAAAAACACAAAAGTCTAGGACTACATTAGGTCATCAAAGTCGTTTAGGACGAAATTAAGAAAACCATTATAGTCGAGGACCATTTGGAGTATTAATATTTCAGTTTCATTTGACAATATTGCTATGTTCAATTTCATTTTAGATACACACTAGTTTCATTATTAATTTCATTTTTTATCCTGCGACTTTTGAGGTCCTATCACTTTTGGTGCACAACTTTAATTTTTTTTTTTCAATTTTTATACGTAACTTTGTTTTTTGTTTTTGTTTTTTATCAGTTTTGGTCCTTCCCGTCAAATTGACAGCGAAATGTTGTCGGATTTAATATTTTTATTGGTAAAATCATCCTCACAAGAAAAGATCTTCAATATCTAAACAAAACCACTGTAAAATCAGATCTATGGATGTTTGATCATGAGAATAATGGGGAAGACGGGGAGAGACTAGACATAGATCTATGATATTTATAGCGTCGATGATTGGCATACCCTTCACATTCTCTTAATATGATTCCCTTTTGTTTATATATTGAAGATATTTCCTTGTGATGATGATTTTGCCCCTAAAAATATAAAACCCGGCAACATTTCGCCTTCAATGGGGCAGAAGGACCAAAACTGATTAAAAAAAAAAAAAAGCTAGACATCAAAATTAATAAAATTTAAAGTTGTGCACCAAAAGTGATATGACCTTAAAAGTCGTGAGACCAAAAGTGAAATTAATTTTCAAAACACAAAACACATAATACTTTCTCAGCCTAAACCACACTATTACACAACAATCCTTATACCATGGACCAGGGTTCACAGTGAACTGTGGACCCTGGTGCATGTGTATGTGTTTTATATTGTGAGTTTTTGTGTATTGTGTTATGAAATTTTGTACTTTAAAATTATGAATTATGCACCTGAAACAAAATTAGTAGTTGGTGTCTTATGTTATAAATTTAAGTGTTTTGTGTTTTGAAATTTTGTGCTTATGAACACAAATTTGTACGTATATTTGAAAAATAAATAAGGGTGTGTTTGGCTCGCACATGGGAATCGGAATCGGAATGGGTATCAAATACTTGGTAATAGTAATGGGTTTTGGTGAAAATATTTTGCATGTTTGGTAGTAGGGTGGAATGGAAATAATTAGGCTAAGGATGAATAATGAGATAAAATCCTTATAATATAAGGGAATGGATTTTTCCATTAATGCGGTATTCCAAATCCATAGTAGTGTTTTAAAAACCAGTCAACCAAATAATAACAATCACTTTCATATCCATACCTGAATGCTAAACCTACTAACCAAACACACCCTAAATATATAACATGTATATATATCTTGTGTTGTAATTTTTTGCGTGTTAATGTTATAAAATTCTGTATCTTACGACTGTTACGAGTATGAATACTCTACTCATCGTTTTGATTTAGAATTAGAACCGTCGAAACGGTCTCGCGGGGCGGGACGGACCAAAAAACACCAAAGCCCGTCCTCGTAGCGGGACGGGTTAAAAAGCCCGCCTCTTAGCGGGCTTGGAATGTGGCCGCCCCGCCCAGCCATGCCAAAGCCCGCTGGCGGGGCGGGCTAGCCCGCCAATCAATTTTTTCACTGTGATTATTTAAAAAAAAAAAATCACTGTACACAGACATACAGTACACTAACACAGTAACACTACCTAGTATTGTATTCCTATAATTCTATAATCCTATAAGTTATAACACACTAACACTATTACACAAATCAAAATAACATGTATTAAATACTAAATATATATGTATAATGTATTAGCATGTCGCGGGCTAAACCTGTGACCCGCCTGACCTGCCCCGCCTGGACCTGTGACCTAGGCGAGACGGGCTAAAAAGCCCACCTCCTGACGGATCAAAATTTGAAGAACCCGTCCCCTACCTAGGACGGTACGAAACGGATCGACCTGACGGGTAAAATCCATTTTTGACGGCTCTATTTAGAATCCACAATGCTATGTGAACCCTTGTCCATAATATAAATTGCCATTACACAAAAAGTCCCGTTCTTGACACACAAGTATACCCGGCCCACTATAGTTTTGCTATCGGAGCTCCGATTCACCTATACATACACAAAAGCGGTCAGCGGATAGTTCTCTTCGCTTATATGTATCTGATTTTGAAGAAAATAGTGTACTTTTAGATCTTGTGATTCGACTATGTCGAAATCTCCATGGGGAAACATTGGCGCATGGGCTGCAGAAGCGGAGCGAGCCGAAGCTGAGGAGCGCGAACAAGCCGCCGCCGCCGCAGCAGCAGCGGCGGCGGCTCCCTCCGTCGCAGGAGGCGGCGGCGGCGACTCTCAGAACTACCCTAGCCTCAGGGAGGCCACCAGCACCAAACAGAAGAAGAAGGCGGCGAAGATGACGTTGCAGGAGTTCACGATGCAGGGGACCTTCGGCTCTGGCGGCTCCAGTAGCCGGCTGACGCCGGACGAGATGCTCCGCCTCCCCACGGGTCCCAAAGAGCGGTCGGCGGAGGAAATGCAATCCGGGCGGCTTGGTGGAGGGTTCTCTAACTACGGGAGCAGGTTCACGGGCTCACAACCAGGAGGTCGGAGCCGAGATCGAGACGGCGATGGTGAAGGCTCTTGGGGCAACAATCGGAGGTCTTATGGGGGTTTCGATGATGATCGGAGGGGGGCTCCTCCATCTAGGGGTTCGGATTTCGATCAACCCTCGCGAGCTGATGAGGTTGATAACTGGGCTTCCACGAAGAAACCCTTGCCCTCCTCATTCGATTCTAATTCTACTGCTGCTGCTCCCGCTCGTTCAAGATATGCTATGCTCGGAGCCGGCGGCGGAGCCTCTAGGGCTGATGGCGATGATAATTGGGCGGCTTCGAAGAAACCTATTGCTCCTCAATCTTCCAGATCTTCCACTTTCGGTTCAGGATTCAGAGACTCGAGGCCCGAACCTGAGCGCTGGACACGAGGTGCCAGTCAGCGATTGGTTTTGGAATCTCCTAAGAGCGAACAGGGAAGTGAGAATAATGAGATCGAGGTTACTGCGAAGGTGAACAAGCCTAACCCATTTGGAGCGGCGAGGCCTCGGGAGGAGGTTCTTGCTGAGAAAGGTCTGGACTGGAAAAAACTGGATATAGATATAGAGACAAAGAAGGGGAGTAGTCGCCCAACAAGCTCACACTCCAGTAGGCCTGAAAGCTCCCATTCCGCCCGCTCTGACGGGCAGGCATTGCTGCAGGGTGTGATAGAAGGGGCGGTGAAGCCCAAGGCAAAGGTAAATCCTTTTGGAGATGCCAAGCCCAGAGAGGTTTTGCTGGAGGAAAAGGGTCTGGATTGGAGGAAGATTGATTTAGATTTGGAACATCGACGCATTAACAGGTTTGCACCTTTCTCATTTTACACTTGTTTGGCTTGTGCTGGCTTTTTATTTTCTAAACTAGCCATTCATTTAGTTGTCACCACATTAGCTCTTGCTTCTGTCCATTTTGTGCATAATATCTACTTCATGGCAATAATGTCTTGAGAATGAGTCATTTTCCAGCCAATGTGAAAAACAACAGAAGAAGGTACTATTCCAAGAAAACTATTTTATTGTTGGGGTGACGAGGGAAACCTGCATCCACTACCCTAGGTTGTGCATTGGGTAAACCTGCCTTGTGACCTTAGCCGTCAAAGGATCACAAGGAGGTAAACTAGCCTAGGTTGCCCATATTTTACTGGCTCAAACCAAGAGGGTTGGGATATGAAGTCGTGACCTTGTGGCAGTGTTGCGAAACTCGCTAGATGGGTGCCTAGGCGGGGGCCTAGGAATTTAAAAATAAACATGGCAAATTACAGCAGCAGCAGCCAGACCAGCACTTCCAAGCTCCCAGCAGCAATAACATCCACACATTTTTGCTATGCATTTTTTTAAAAAATAAATACAAAAAATTAAAACTAAAAGCCAAATTACTTGCTGACTGCTGGTTCCTGGGAGCTGGGATGCTGCTGGTGGAAGGCCGGAGGTGGGCGACGGTGAGGGAGACCGGAGACGGCGATGGGTGGAGGTGGGCGATGTTGTGACATGCTCCTGCTGGGCGGGAGTGTGCTGCTGTGCGTTTAGAAATTTGTGGCTGGGGCTGGGGCTGATTTCATTAAAAAATAAGAATTGGGAATTTGTTTGTTTGTTTGTTTGTTTTGTTTTGTTTTGTTTTGTTTTTTTTTTTTTTTTTGTTTTTTTGTTTTTTTTTTTTTTCTCAAAACGGCGTCGTTTTGAGCAGACAAAAACCAAATTAGAAAAAAAGCGCCCAGCCGACTGTCTAGAATCTGCCTAATGGCGGATTTGCCTTGGCCAGCGGCCGCCTAGCGCTTAGGTGGTGCGTTTCACAAAATTGCCTTGTGGTTATAACTTATAAGTATATAAGTATATATTCTTAGCCATCTTTGCTGGGGTGACCCCAAAGAATATTTTATTGTTGTCTCCAGTAGAATGTGACCATGGACTTTCTTTAATACCAGGAAAAAAAAAAGGCAACTACAGTGCTTATTGATTGTTACCATCTATTAGCTAACTTATATGCTGAGTTTCACAGTTCAACATGTTTCCATTAGAATTAAGGTGGATCATATTTCTACAGGATAGATATCTTCATATCTTATAGCATGTTTTTTCAAGTTCTGGATAGGTTCAGCAGGAGGGTTAGTTCCTGTTTTGATCAGTGATGTGATCTAGTAAGTCTGTTCTGTTTGTTTATTCATGTGTATAAATAATTATGATCCTGAAGATTACAAGTGTGGGTCTCGTAGCGCACGTGCACACACACACACACCAGTTTAGAGTAATTGCCTTAGTCTTATTTGCAATGTCCTTTCAGATGTCATAAATGCAAATGCAATAATTTAAGGTAATATTGTACCCTTATCTTATGACAAATAAACCTCCATTTCTATATCACTTCTTTCCTCCAATTACTGTTGTACCTCAGTTCTCTATAACTGAGGTTTTTTTGGACTAAAAACAATAAATGAGAAATCATTAATAGAGCAAGATGATCAGTAGAAGACAACAGGAAAACACTCAAGTTTGAATTGCACACAAAATAAAAAAGACTGGATAGTGTTGCATAATATATTTCAAGATATTTTTGGAATGAAATTGGTAAGAATATTTGGCGCATTGTTTCCTATTGTGGAGGAAGAATGTGTAAGTCATTTATTGACCAAAGGAAAAGCAGCTTTCAAGAGTGAGATTCATACTTTTAGGGGATGTTTGGTTTATGAAATGTTAGATTACCTTAGGGAATGGTAGATTGCTGAGAATGCTAAATTACTGAGAATGTTAGATTCTTGTGTTTGGTTAAAACTGAGGTATGTAATATAAACCTTTTTGGTTTAGGGGTTATCTTTTTATGTTATAATGATTTTTTTTTTTTTTTTTTTTTTTTTTTTTTGTTTCGTTTTTCGTTTTTTGTTTTTACTTTAATACCTTTAACATATTTTCATGTATTTCATAACTTCAAAATTAAAATAAATAAATAAGGCAATTGTAACATATATAAGAGTACATGAACCAAACATAGGAATGTGACATTCCAAAGCTTACATTCCCTTGGTTATGTTGTATAACTTGAACCAAACAGGCAAACACCCCCTTAAGGTTTGCCCCTTCATCTTTTTCCAAAGATAATAACTGAAATATACAGCGACAAGTAATATACTGACATACACCTTTGTCTACAGTCTACACAAAACATGCCTTAACTCTACTAGATATAATTACTTACCAGTTCAACACAACTTATAGATATAATGGTATTGTATACAGTCACATACTTGTTGGTCCTGTTTTATTTACTATTTGCTTATATGACTCCTTATGTGTGATAAGTTTCTTGAATGATTTGATTATCAAAATTCAACCTCTCTACTCCTTCAAAGGAAATAAAGTAGGAAAAGGAAGTTGAAATAGAAATATAGAATATCTCATTGATGGGATAAAAATGCTTCAGGCCTGAGACAGATGAGGAAAAGAATTTGAAAAAAGAAATAGAACAGCTCAAGAAAGAAGCACTTCAAGATGCTGGTGAAGATCAGGCAGCCACCCATGATTTGATAAATCAAAAAGAAAGGGAATTGGAATTGCTGATCCGTGACTTGGATGACAAAGTTCGTTTTGCTGAGAAAACAACCGAAAGCCCAGGCTCAGGGTCGAACAGAGTTTCAAGCTTTGCTGAGCGTCCCCCATCCCGGCCAGGATCTGTTGATGAACATAGAAGTGGTGAGTTCATGGATAGGCCTAGATCACATGGTGCAGGAGATGCTTGGACTGGGCCAGTTGACGATAGAAGAGCCTTCCACGGTGGTAGGCCAGGTGAGGACAGAAGGGCTATCCAAGGTGGTAGTCCAACTGAGGACAGAAGAGGTTTTCAAGGTGCTAGGTCTAATGATGATAGAAGATTTTTCCAAGGTGGAAGGGAGAAAAGATATTTTGGTAACAGGAACATGGAGAGGTACTCTCACTCACTCTCTCTTTCTCTCTCTCTCTCTTCTTTCCCCGTCTCACTCATGCATGCTTATTCAACACATGAAAGTAAATATCTCCCAAAATAAATAAAAAGTCGATTATCTTTTGCAACCTGGAGGGATTTTTTTTAGAGATCAGTAGTGAATGACATACAAGTTGGGTAGAACATTGTTAGTGCAATTTATATCTTCAAATGGCAATTTTGCATGTTCTTTGTGTGGGAGGGAGAGAGGAGGGAGGAGGATGATATGTTAAGCTTTGAGCGCATGCTGTTGAACTTGATAGTTGATACAGAAACTTTATCTATGTAGTCTTGTGGAAGGATTAAAGGACTTGAACAGAATAAAAATCATAGAACAATTCTTTATCCTTTTTATGAAATCTAAAACTGTTCCATTAGTTAATATAGTTGTTTACGGTTATGTTTGACTATAGGTAAATTACTTGTTGTTTTTGATGAGTGAAAATTTACTGCCTTAATGGGCTTCCTATGGTTTCCTTTTCTCATTCTTGATGGATTCCTTTCCTGAGCTATTACCTGAAAGTTTCTCTGAACTTGCTAATAAAATTCTTGCAGAAATTTTGTGAAAATGGGAACAATATAAAATTAATAAGAGTAGTATATAATTCTGTTGTCTCAGTTTCTTTTGAAGATCTCGTCACTCAGCTCCTCCCCGCCCCCTTCAAATTAACAGTATCTTTACTGTTAATTGCATGAAAGTGAGGCTTCTATGAAATTCACATAATGTTCATCATCGTCGTGTCATTTTGGCAGGTCAAGATCAGATGACAGATGGTAAATTTCGACAGCTGTGGATTCTTTGATCTTCTTTTCTTTGTTCTGACGGACAGATTGATTGGATGAGAATAATATTGTCAACTTCTGTTGAATTGCATCTTAAATTTTGCTGTGAGAATTGGAGCTATAATTATTGATTAGCACCAAGTACATTAATTGTTGCATCTTGACACTTTGTAAAATTGCATTCTACCCTTTTCTTCTCATCTTATAGGCAGGCAGCATGTTTGCTTGGTTCCAAACACTATTGTAATGAACATTGGGCCATGATGGTCATGTTTTGGCTTACTTTCTGTAGCATCATTTATTAGTGTTTGTTTGTTTGTTTGTTTTTGGAATTTATGAGACCTGTAGTTATTGATTTATTTATGAGAAAATTTCACTTTTGTTCCCCAAATTATTATACATGAATCACACTGATCCTTGACTATTAAAATTTTCTAATTAGGTGCATGACTATATAATTTGTATTACATTTAGTTCTGTTGTCCAATTTTCCATTTAATTATTGCTAGAAGTGCTTCTCCTGGAAGGAGTTTGCCGTTCAATTTTTTTGCCAACTATTGTCGGAAGTATTCCTTCTTTTGGAAAGAGTAATTTTACTATAGTTGGTCATAAAATTGGACAGTTGGATAAAATATGACACCAAATTACATAGTTATGCAGAAATTTTAATAGTTAAGGATCAAATGTGATTCGTGGGTATAATAGTGAGAGAACTAAAAGTGAAATTTATTTTATATTTATTTATTCATGTTTGAGACTTTTTTGAAGAAATTTTTTTGAGTTAATTTCATTTTTAGTCCTATATTTATAGGTGAAATTTACTTTATTATTTACAGAATATCTTTATTCGGTTCTAATATTATTTTTTAAAAGTGAACTGGGACTTATAAATTTAGAATAAGTATAAATACCAGGAATCACCATAAAATATTAATGAAAAACAAAACCAACTTCCCACATAATTCTCCAGGAAAACAAGCGTGAGTTTAGCAGTTTCAAGGATTACGCACAACCTCTTACAAACTATACTAAATTTGTGTGTTCCGCTTATTACAAAGAAATCTGTATTAATTTACTACTTTTATTTGAACACAAAGGAAAGAAAAAAGTAGCTTATCAATGCAGCAAAATTTAGAGAATAAGATTTTGGAGTCTATGTAGTAGAATTCGAACACAAATTTATGCAAAAACTTAATTGCTATCGCTATTTGAAGGTACACTAAGTGAAGTTCTTCTTGTGACCCTAACCAACAAGAACCACAAGATACCTCCCATCTCCACTTTGTTATGTTATGTATGTTTATGGTTTGAATGTGGAGAAGAACCCATGAGCCTAATATCTGTTGTTGAGTACAATAAATTTGTTACTTGCTGCCGACTGTGGAGGACACAAATGTATGTTAATTATATAATTGGTTTTCTGAATTATCAGTTTTGGCATTTAATTTGATGTGTTTCAATATATGCTTCCATGCTTTTCAGCAACATTGTTAATATAAGATGGGCTTTTCTGGGTGATGAGGGAAACCTCAAGTACTATTTAAGGGTGTGCACGGGGTAAACTCCGCCTTATGGCTTTAACTGCAAAGGATCACAAGGAGGTAAATTAGTCTAAATTTTTCAACTCAAATCAAGAAGGCAAATATTTACCTTACGACCTTAGCTGCATAGGATCACAAAGAGGTAAACTGACCTAAATTGTCCGACTCAAACCAAGAAGGCCAATAGACTACTCACGTTGAGAGCAGAACTTGTAACTTTGTAGTTACAAGTCAATAGTCTGACCAACTTGGCTGGTGTTGGTGGTGCTTATTTTATTTTTGAAATTTAAGTATGATGAAAGTAAATTAGGAATGGATGTCATCAACTTAATTGCCCTTTATATGAAGGGAGTAAGAGCTAGTTCTCTCTGATCATTTGCCTTTCTTCTAACTTCAATTTTTGGCAGAAAAATGTACTGATTAAACCTCGTTTTGTGATCGTAGTAGGCAAAAGATCACAAGAAGATAAACCAGCCTAGGTTGCCCAGCTCAAACCAAGAAGGCCAATAGGTCACTCCTATTCGAACCCGAACTTCTAACTTTGTAGTTACAAGTCAACAATCTGACCAACTTGACTAGGGTTGCCCATGACTCATTTTATTTTTATTCCTTTTTGGGTGACGAGGGAAACCTCAACCACTATTCAAAGGTGTGCACCAGATAAACCCTGTCTTGTGACCCTAGAAGGCAAAGGATCACAAAGAGGTAAAATAGCCTAGGTTGTCCGAGTCGAACTAAAAAGGCCAATAGCAAGTCAACAGCCTGACCAACTTGGTTCGGTTGTCCCGGTTTTATTTTTGAAATTTTAAAAGGTATGGTGAAAGTAAATTAGGAATGGATCTCATCAACTTGGCCTTTATATGAAGGGAATAAGAGTTAGTTCTCTCTGTTCATTTGCCTTTCTTCTAAGTTTGATTTTTGGCAGCAAATTGTAGTGATTAACCCTTCTTTCCATGGTTACTGAAAACTAAAAACATATTTGAATCCTGAATGGTGCACAGCTGTTATTACACCTTTTTCTCAGAATATAATGAGAGAATCAGATACCATGCTTAAAGAACTTTAAACTCTGGTAGGTTGTTTTTAGTTGTTTCTGTCATGGTCTCATGGATTCTCTATGTCGTCTAAGGTCTTACATTATTTGTTGCATAGTGGAGATGGTAAAAGGAAAAATCAAATGGAGAAGTTTATTGTCACCATAATCATTGGAGTCGCTTTTGGGTTCTTCCTTGGAGTGTCATATCCATCACTCACATCAAATAAGGTATGAGTTACCTGCTCAAAGCTTCTTCATTCATTCAATTCTTCTGTATTACATGGTATGAGTTAATACCATATGAGATCTTTCGAATATAGTTAGTTTTAAACTTTTAAATTGATCAATCGTGCTCCTTCGACTTTTAAATTGTTACCATCCGTGGTCCAAATTAATTATCCATGGTCCTTTAATTTTCAAAATTTAACCAGCTGCGTCCTTCTAAAAGGACCATGGGTGTTTAATTTGAAGTACGGATAGTTAAATTTGAAAGTTGAAGGACTATATGTGATTAATTTGAAAGTTTAGGACTAAACATGACAAAACTATTATACTTGGAGGAATCCAGATGATATTAACTCTACATGGTTTAGTATTATTCATAAATGACAAATTTTGTTGTCTCTGTTTTGGCAGCAAAATATTAGAACAAGTCTTATTCACAACTTAGGTTTTCCAGCCCAAGAGTATGTGGTTTCAACTGAGGAGGAGACTTGCAACTCTACAGCAAATCAAAATGTTATGAATTTTACAAAGGTTAGTTCATCCTGTCTTGAGCGTGCTTTAGATCTGAGATTATAGAGGTGTTTAGCAAATGGGTAAAAATAGTCATTTCATAATTAAGTTAACTAAAAACTTGAACTTTTGAGATTTTGATTTATTGGTCCAATAAAGTAATGCAAATTGAGCGTGCAGTGAAGCAATTAAAATTGGGTTACGTTTATGAATTATGTTAGCACAGGATTGAAAGGAAAAGAAAGAAATTGATGTTGTAGTGTATGTGTTGATCAGATTTGGGTTCCATCAAATCCGAGAGGAGCAGAAAGATTAGCACCCGATATTATTGTCTCTCACTCAGATTTGTATCTCCGACGGTTATGGGGAACGCCCAGTGAGGTAAGTGTTCTTTCTATATATGAGGCCTAGCTTTATTGGCTTCTCAAAATTACTTAACAATATATTTATGAATTGTTGAGTGTATGTTCTAATTATTATCATCACAAGGAATTTGTAGTGCATAGGCCGGCATCATCACATAATAGTATTAACTTATAGCTGATAGCTGATTATATTAGTGAGATTGACGAGGAGTTGATAGCATTAAGTGATTACATATAAGGCATTATCTTAAGTATTGACGTGGTATCTGCAGGAGCTGAGTAGCAGACCAAGGTATCTGGTAACATTTACTGTAGGATATAAGCAGAAGAAGAACATTGATGCTGCTATGAAAAAGGTTAGGTTACTTGTCTTCTATTATATTTTCTGGTGATGAGATGAGATGAGATCCCACAGGCACGGCACCAATATAATATAATTCAACAGCCTCCGATCCGATCCGATCCCTCGTCTAACATACAGCCTGTTATATATCCTCCTGGATGCAGTTTTCACACAATTTTACTATCATCCTGTTTCATTACGATGGGCGAACATCTGAGTGGGATGATGAGTTTGAGTGGTCGAGGAAGGCCATTCATGTGAGTGTTAATAAACAGACAAAATGGTAAGAGTTACGTTGTTTGTTGTCTTCATTCATCATATCGTAATATAACGTAAAATTAAATTGGTTTAAGGTGGTACGCCAAAAGGTTTCTGCATCCAGACATTGTTGCGCCATATGAATATATATTCATCTGGGATGAAGATCTAGGAGTTGAGCAGTTTGATGCTGAGGAGTAAGCTAATTAAGTGATAATATATATATAATCAGTCATCACATTATTATTTTTCATCTCAAACTCATCTTTCTTTTGCCCTCCAATTTCAGGTACATTAGACTTGTGAAGAAGCACGGATTAGAAGTTTCACAGCCTGGTTTGGAAGCCCACAAGGAAGTTGGGATAACATGGCAAATCACAAAGCAGATCAAAGGCAACACTGAAGTTCACAAGTAAGAATAATATATTGTATCATCATGAGTTGCAACATAAATAAATGTGCAATCTAACTATTAGTTTAAACTTTTAGTCGAGATAGGCCACATGCCATTACACCAAAAGTTATAGTTAATAGGGGAGGCGTAACTTTATTTCCTTATAAGACTGTGCGCTATTACATTTTCGAGAGGCAGAGTGTTAGACTTGGCCCTTCACCAGTCTCCCCGACACCAAGTATAAGATGGATCGGAGTGCATGCATGCTCCAGTTCCAACTTCCAACCAATGGAATCTGTTTTGTGGATATTTTGACCTTTTTGGTTTGTATCTTTCCTTGATTAGAGAAACAACAGAGAGACCAGGCTGGTGTTGGGACCCTCATCAGCCTCCATGTGCAGCGTAAGAAAAATAGTTAATTGTGCTTTTCATTGCCATTCTTTTTGGTACTGTTTCTGTAAATTGATATGCGGCATTATATTATATTGTTGTTTAATCTGATTTTAGGTTTGTTGAGATCATGGCTCCTGTCTTCTCGAGAAATGCATGGCGCTGCACGTGGCATATGATTCAGGTACACTTACTAATAAGTGTGTCATGCCCTTTCTCGCTTTTCTTCTTCTGCTTCACCATAATTATTTGTGTCAATCCTAGAATGACTTGGTCCATGGTTGGGGTCTTGACTTTGCACTTCAAAGATGCGTTGAGGTTAGTTTTTATTCCATTATATGCCAGATAGGCTCTTTGTTTTACACACCAAAAATCATGAATTAATGACTCTTTTGGTCACTCGGCTATTCTGTAATTATTAAATTACTCATCCATTATCAATTTTGATCAATTAAATCCTCAACTATACTATTGATTTCATAACCGATTTGGTCCTCCTTCAAACTGATAGATGACCAATTTGATAAGTATGGAGGAGCAAATCGATTACGAAATCAATAGTTGATGATTTAATTGATCAAAATTGATGGTCGATGACCAATTTGATAATTACAGCATAATCGAGGATCCAAAACGGTCATTAATTCAAAAAAAATTTATGTTGATTTGTAGTCGCCTGCGCATGAGAAGATTGGAGTCGTCGATGCTCAACCCATTGTTCATCAAGGCATTCCTTCACTTTCGGTAATAAAAGGACTATGGAACATCATATGTATATACAATTCCATATTTACATTGCTCATGATGAGAACTGATAGAGTTGTATTGAATAATATAATTACAATTGTACAGATTACATACATACATACATACATACATAGGGAGACTGGATAGGGAATTATAATCTAACTCAAATACATAGAGTCCTAATACTCTCCCTCAAGCACAAGGTACACTGGTGACTTGTAGCTTGTCCCTAAGAAAATAAAACCGAGGACCAGGTAGAGCCTTTGTAAAGATATCTGCCAATTGATCCTTGGTTGAAATAATGTTAACCTGTATATCATCATTAGCAACTCTGTCTCTAACAAAATGACATTTAATTTCTATATGCTTGGTTCGAGCATGAAAAATAGGATTTGCACACATGTATGTAACTCCAAGATTATCACACCATAGCTTGGGAGTGGGCACGTTAGTATTACCGATTTCACGCAGGAGCGAAAGAGTCCAAAAGACTTCAACAGAGACATCTGCTAAAGCTTTATATTCGATTTCAGTAGATGATCTAGCAACAGTTCGTTGTTTCTTGTAGACCCATGATACAAGATTAGAACCAAGAAATACAGCATACCCACTAGTTGATTTACGATCCTCAGGACAGTCAGCCCAATCAGAATCTGAGAAAGCATGTAATTTTTTGGATACTGATTGTCTAATCCGCAGACCAGAAGTGATAGTTCCCTTTACATACCTTAGAACGCGTTTTTAACTGTTCCCAATGAGAGACTGTATGCGCATGCATATGCTGATACAGTTGATTTACTACAAAAGACATATCTGAGCAAGTAATTGTAAGATATTGTAAAGCACCAGCCAAACTCCTATATTGTGTGGCATCATCATATAAATCATTATTGAAGACAATGGGCTTTGAAACAGATATATGGGTGGCTAAAGGTTTACAGTCTGTCATGCCAGCCCGTTTTAAGATATTTGTCTAGTATCTTTGTTGAGATACCATCCTTACACTTAATGGTTTCAATCCCAAGAAAGAAACTAGGTTCACCAAGATCCCTAATAATGAAGGTAGATGATAATGCAGTGAGAAGAGTACTAACAAGATTGTGATCATTGCCCATTACAAGAATGTCATCAACATAAACAGGAACGTAGATGAAAACTGAACCCTGAGAGTGGTAAAATAAAGACACATTTGTTTTTGAAGCTTTGAACCCTGCTGCCATCAAAAAGGTATGTAAACGATTAAACCAAGCTCTGAGAGCCTGCTTTAATCCATACATAGAATGTTTTAATAGACAAACATGATTCGGAAACTGTTTATCAATATATCTTGGTGGTTGCTTTATATAAACAGTTTCAGATAACTTCTCATTCAAAAAGGCATTGTGCATATCAAGCTGCTTAATAATCCAACCAGAAGATATAGCCAAAGATAAGAGTAACCTGATAGTAGTGGCTTTGACCACTGGGCTGAAGGTGTCAAAAAAATCATGACCAGGTACCTGATTGAATCCTTTAGCTACTAACCTTGCTTTGTAACGTTCGATTGACCCATCAACTTTCCTTTTTGTGCGAAAGACTCATTTGCACCTAATAATATTCATATCAGATTGACATGAAACAAGATACCAGGTTTCATTTTGAAGAAGTGCATTAAATTCTTCATCCATTGCCTTGCGTCATTCATCATGTTTGACAACCTGTGTATAAGCAAGTGGGTTCAATGGGGCAAACCTGAGCAGAAAGAGCCAAAAGAGGACCTTCACCGCGACTCCGGGTGGCCATGTAGTGGGTTCGAACCATGGGCTGTGACGAACACCCTCTCGGCCGGCCACGACGACGCTGGGTAGTGATTGGTTCGTTGTGCGCCGAGGGCTCGTCCTAGACCAGTTCTAGCTGGCTGGGGCCAGCTCAAGTGGAGCGGGTTGAACCGGAACGGAGGATGAAGCCGAAATGAGAACAGATTCAGCCTAAGGTTGTGTTGCCTGAACCTGTGGTGCCTGCAAAACCGTTTTACTAAAAGGGAATCACTTTCATCAAACCGAACATGCCTGCATATATATATATATATATATATATCTTATTAGTCTGAAGGTCCATGTATGCACCTATACCCCCTAAACGACTCAGGATATCCTAGGAAGACACATGGAGAAGACCTGTAAGACATTTTGTGAGGGTTGTAAGAACGTAATGAGGATATCACAGACATCCAAAGACACGAAGAAAGGAATAAGACGGAGGGGATTTATGCAATAGAAGATGGGGATTGAGTTTATTTGTCACGGTGGATGGCATTTTGTTAATTAAATATACTGCAGTCTCAAAAGCATAATCCCAAAATTTAGAAGGAATAGAAGCCCGACTTAAGAGAGCTAGACTTGTTTCAACAATGTGTCTATGCTTTCTTTCGACACAACGTAACCATTCTATTCATGAGTATAAACACATGACTTTCTATGAAGAATGCCTAATTGAGCTAAGGTCGTGGAGTGTAATTTTTTATACTCAGCTCCTAGATCAGACTGTATGGATTAAATTTTGCGATTGAATGAATGTTCACCCATAGCCCGAAAGTTATCAAAGATAGCATACAAATCAGACTTTTGTGACATAGGGAAATACCAAGTGTAATGAGAGTATTCATCAACAAAGATAGCAAAATAACGATATCTATTAGTAGAAAGAATGGGAGTTGGTCCCCAGATGTCTGTGTAAATTAAATCAAGGACACACGAACTAGAAGACTCAACACGTGGTAAGGAAAAACGTGTGAGTTTCCCTAACTGACATGCATTACATAGACCCGAAGTACAACGAATATTATTTCTAGACCCACTAACCGAGCAAGATGAAAGAATTTGACTAAGAACTCGTTGATGAGGATGACCAAGACGATCATGCCAAACAGACACGGAGGCTCTAGCCGAAAGAAACGCAGTAGGAGACGAACTTGGAATGGGGAGCTTGTAAAGCCCTCCAGAGCTATTGCCCCGTAGAAGAGTTTCCTTGATGTTGATATCACTCACAACAAAAGAGGATGTGTTAAAATCAAAGAACACTCTATTATCTAATGCAAATTTTTGAACAAATAATAAAGATGTAGGCAAACTAGGAACATGAAGGATATTAGACAATTGAAAAGATCTAGAAGGGGAATTAAAGGTAGCATGACCAATATGACTAATAGGCAATCCCATACCATTGCCGACATGTAATGTGTCATTACAATTGTACTCCTCTGAGATTGATAGAGCAGCAATGTCTGGAGTAGCATGATTGGTTGCACCTGTATCTGGAAACCAAGTGTGGGATCCTTGAGGATCCGAAGGAGATTCTTGATATACTATGTTGGCCAGAGGATCCTTGGCATACCGAAGATGACATGTGACTGCAGTATGACCAACCACCAAACATAGGTGACACTTAGGTTGCCGTTTCATCCTCCACCACGACCCCGGCCGCCGCCACCACCGCGCGGCTGGCCGGCTTGACCTCCGTTGTTGCCATTGTTCTGACCAGAACCGCGGCCTCTCTACCCTCCTCGTTGTGTCGTGAACACGATCGGCGAGCCCCCCCCCCCCCCCTCCCCAGGACCACCATGCATCATAAACTCCTCCACACCAAGAAGATCTGCAAGTTCTTGGAGCGTAATAGGTTGGCCACGAACATTAAGAAACGATGCAAGCCCCTGAAATTCCGGCCGTAACCCCCGAAGAACGTAAAGATTTTGTTCTTCAAGTGTCATAGGCCGGCCGGCGAGAGTGAGTTCCTCGATCAAAACCCTAGCCTTGCCGATGTAGTCAGCCGCGGACATGTCACCTTGATGAAGAGTTTGCAACTGTCCGACCAGGTTCAGGCCACGGGAGCGGGAGGACGATGCAAGCGCACCAACCACAGCGGTCCAGACAACCCGGCTGGTACGGTGGCCGATGGCGAGAGGTATGACTTCATCGGAAAACGACGACATCAACACGGATAAAAGGGCTTGATCTTGCTGGATCCATGCACGGTACGCGGGGTTGGTCTGTGCGACTGCCGTGTTGTCGTTGCTGTCGGAGAGAGTCGCCGGTGGGCACCGATTCGTTCCGTCAACGAATCCAAGAAGATCATGACCATCAAGAAACGGGACAACCTGGGCTCTCCAAAACAGGTAGTTCTTGTAGGCGAGTTTAATGCTGATAAAGTGGTGAGCGGTGGATAAGGAATTAACAGTCGATGTGACTAAAGAGAGAGGAATATTAGAGACGATCTGTTCCGAGGAATCAACAGATTCGTCAGCCATTGAAAAAAAACTCTAGCTTAGCTAATACCAGATGAGAACTGATAGAGTTGTATTAAATAATATAATTACAATTGTATAGATTACAAATATATATATATATATATATATATATATATATATATATATATATATATATATATATATATATAAAAGTGGGATAGGGAATCATAATCTAACTCAGATACATAGAGTCCTAATACTCCTAGTTATTTTTCTTTATGCAGGGGAAAAACTCAGAGAATGGGAAATCTAAACGGATAGAGGTATGTAATCACTCATAAGATTATATACTATGGTATGTACATTGTTGGGCAGAGGCCGATAATGGTCCAAGTTCAATTAGTGACTCGGGGATTGTTGGGCGGGACTGGTGAAGGGCAGGGTCGGTTTTTTATTTTTATTTTTATGGCCCCGTTCTTATAAATAAATGAGGCCCTACCAAAAGTATAAGTGCAATCTTTAAAACCAATACTGTAAAATATATGATTTTTATTTCAAATAAGTATGAACGGTGTACACCAGTTGAATGCAAAAATCACAGTTACTACTGTAAAATATAATATGAACTGTGTAGATATTATGCCCTCTAAAAATTGAGGCCTTGTGCTATTTCCCATCTTGCACGTCCCAAAATCCGGCCATGGTGAAGCCCAGTACCCGGGTAAATATTTATGTGGATCAGGGTCCACAAGTGTTGTATGGACCATACAAAAGTACATTTTTAATATATTAAAAGTAATTATTTATGTACTAAATGTACATTATAAAAAATAATGTACTTTCAGTACTCAAATAATATATTCTCCTGAGTACAAATATATTTTTAATATACTAAAAATACATTATTTGTGTGCTGAATGTACATTATTTGATAGTATACAAAATAATGTACTTTCATTACTCAATTAATGTACTTTCAAAATTCAAATAATATGCTTTATGTACCCAAATAATGTATTTTTTATTTATGGTCCACAAAGCGACAAATTATTGTGTGGACCACGGTCCAAAACAACGTCGTTTTGATGTTAAAAAAAATTCCTTACTCCGCACACGTGTTAGAATAATGAACATTCTGGGATAAGATATTGTATTTTATGAGTTAGAATAATGTACTTTACTTGTTAAAATAATATACTTTGTGTTAGAATAATGAAATTTTTGGGGTAAGATAATGTATTTTATGAGTCAAAATAATGTTCTTTTTTTTTAGAGGGAAATTATGTTAGAATAATGTACTTTATGTGTTTTTTTTTCACCGTTGTCCACACAGCTGTGTGGACCACGGTCCACGCAATAATGATTGCCGCACAACATGTGTGGACCATTAATGATTGCTTGCCTCGGCTAAAGGTATTGTTGGGCTGGGCCGGTGAAGGGCCAAGTCCAACACCTTACCTCTTGAAAATGTGGTGATATAAAGAAATAATGTTGCGTTTCCAAATTATAGTTTTTAACATAGTGGTAACGGTTTGATCTAACCGATATAGATAACAATCTAAATTTGATGATAGTCTAGATGAACCGCTGATATAGATAGTTTATTCAGACATACCGGTGATACAGATAGTTTGTTTATCCATGTTTACTACTGCACATTATATTGAAGTTCCCTCCAGCCCTCAAGGTTTGCTATGAAATTGCATATATGCTCCTCTTTGCAGGTTAAACAAAGGAGTAGAAGAGAGTGGCAAATGTTTCAGGAGAGGATAGGGAATGCAGAGAAGGCCTATTTTAAGTCAATTGGAGTATAACATTAGCGAATATATAGCATAGATACTCAATAGGATCATGACCATATATCTTTGTGGGTCCTTTATTCTCACTTTAGATCATCATGTGTTAAAATGCCAAACTAAAGGTGACTTTACACCAAAAAAAATGTTCTCAATCTCACTTTTTGTTACCTTTTTTTTTTTTTTTTTTTTTTTTTTTTTTTTTTTTTTTTTCCTGAAAAGGGTGGTAGGATGAGTAGAGTATAATTTACGAGTATGATTTTTACTAACACTCTCTTGATCACATATTATTTTAATTAAAAAGTTTATAATTATCAATTAAATTAAATTTTGGTATTGTTATAATTCATTATCATTATGGACATTATTATTGTAATGTAACGGTTATATAATTATTGCATCTATTTAATACCTTTGTATATATATCTATATATACACCATACTTGTTGTATATATGGATTTATAGAGATGATAAATAAGAGATAATCCTCCTTTCTCCATTGTCTCTTTCAACATGTTATCACCACTTTACTCTACATCCTGTGTGAACCTAAATGGAAGCAGTTCGTCGACCGTAGTTGTCACCTTCACCTCCACCATTAGATCATTAGGAGGTTTGCGTCTGTTAGACATAATTATGTGACTCAAATTAAACATGGACCATTTATCCGATGTTGGCGTCATACGTGTACATGTTCCTACACGTTCATGCGCCTTTTGCTCTCATCCTCTGCATGCCGCTTAATTAGCTTCATTTGAGTGTATAAATAAGATTATTTGCATTTGTACTCATTCAACATCAATTTGAATTCATCTTTATCCCTTCATTCCTTACGTAGCATATGTATATATTTTCTTTCTTATTCTCTTTTAGAGTTTAATATATATATATATATATATATATATATATATATATATATATATATATATATATATTATATATTTTCCCATTCTTATTAATTTATTTTGTCATTTATATATTTTTCCTATTATTTAACTTCTATAATTCTCAATTTTTGATTATTCGCTTCCGCATTATTCTGCTATATTCCTAACAAGTGGTATCAGAGCGGTTTAATTGAGAATTATTTTCAAAGATGTCGACTGTTACCAAGTTCGATATCGAGAAGTTCGACGGGAAAATTAGCTTCTCTATCTGGAAGGTTTAGATGGAAGCCGTTCTAACCCAGAACGGTTTGAAGAAAGCGCTAGCTGGGAAGAAGAAGAAACCGGTTACAATGACAGATGAAGATTGGGAAGATTTTGATGACAAGGCACGTCCAACCATTCTTTTGTGCCTGTCTAAAGAGGTTCTACGCGAGGTAGTAAGTGAGACGACTGCGTCAGATTTATGGTCAAAGCTGGATAAGCTTTACATAGCCAAAACTCTGGCGAACACACTACGCCTGAAGGAGCGTCTGTACACAATCCATATGACGGAAGGTACTTCTATTAAATCTCACTTGGATGAATTCAATTCTATTTTATTGGACTTGGAAAATATTGATGTCATAATTGAAGATGAGGATCGCGCTGTTTTATTGCTTGTCTCTCTCCCTAGATCATACAAGCATTTGAAAGAAATTATGCTGTATGGTAATAGTAGTGATACCCTTACTTTCGACAATGTTAAGTCAAACCTATTGTCCAAAGAAAAGTTTGACTTTGAAATTAAGTCTGAGGACAAAGGTGAAGGCTTGACTGTAAGGGGTCGCTCACTTGAATCAGGGAGTAGCAATAAAAATTCTAGATCCAAGTCGAAAGGACGTAAGTCCAACAAATCCTGTAAGTACTGCAAGAAGAATGGTCATGATGTGACTGAATGCTTCAAGTTGAAAAACAAGCAAGAGAGAGAAAAGAAATCTGCTGAAGCTAGTGTTGTTGGAAGTGATTCAGAAGGCGATGTTATGTTATCTGTTAGCTCCGGTTGCAAACGGAGCGAAACCGAGTGGATTCTGGACTCTGGTTGTACATTCCACATGTGTCCTCACAAAGACTGGTTCGTCTCTCTGAAACCGATTGATGATGAAGCTGTCTTGCTGGGTAATGATACCCAATGCAAGGTTAGTGGAATTGAAAGTGTGCAGATTAAAACTCATGATAACGTTATCAGGACTCTTACCAATGTTCGGTATATTCCTGATTTGAAACGCAATCTGATATCCTTGGGCACCTTGGAAAGTCTGGGGTGCAAGTACATAGCTGAAGGTGGAGTTTTGAAGGTCATCAAAGGCTCTCTTGTTCTCTTGAAAGCTTCTCGTTCTGGAAGCTTGTACGTCTTGCATGGTAGTACTGTGACAGGTTCAGTAGCGGTATCCTCATCGATGTCTGATGCGGATCTCACTCAACTATGGCATATGCGTCTGGGGCATATGAGTGAGAAAGGCATGCATCTCCTGAGCAAGAAAGGCCTCCTTGGTGGTTCAGGTACGGGTAAATTACAATTTTGTGAGCATTGTGTTTTTGGGAAACAAAAGAGGGTTAGTTTCTTTACTGCTACACACCGTACCAAAGATGTATTGAAATACATACATTCCGATTTATGGGGACCAACTAAATTCTAGTCTATGGGAGGCTGTAGATATTTTATGTCTATTATTGATGACTTTTCTCGTAAAGTCTGGGTCTATTTCCTGAAACATAAAAATCAGGCATTTTCTATTTTCAAAAAGTGGAAAATACTTGTTGAGACTCAGACATGTAAAAAAGTCAAGAAGCTTAGGACAGACAATGGCTTGGAGTTCTGTGAGTTAGATTTCAATGACTTTTGTGCGGTAAATGGAATCGCCAGGCACAAGACCTTGCCTGGTAAACCCCAGCAAAATGGTGTTGCCGAACGTTTGAACATGACTCTATTGGAAAGAGCTCGTTGTATGCTCTCTAATGCTGGGTTATGGAAACGACGTGATTTTTGGGTCGATGCTGTTTCTACTGCTTGCTATTTGGTAAATAGATCTCCACTCCACATTCATCCCTTGATTTCAAATTTCCAGAGGAAGTTTGGTCAGGTAATCATGTTGATTACTCTATCTTAAGAGTTTTTGGATGTCCTGCATATGCTCATTCCAGTACAGGTAAATTAAACCCAAGAGCTGTCAAATGCATTTTCCTTGGTTATGCCTCTGAGTCAAAAGGGTATCATCTATGGTTTCCTTATTCTCGGAAAATCATTCTGAGTTGAGATATCACTTTTGATGAAAATGCACTACTTTCTTCTGGAAAAGTTCCCAGTACAGATGAGACGCAAAGTACTGGTGAGAAGGTGGAGTTTGAGTTCAGGCCTATTCATAGTGTTACTACCATTGATGGTAATACTAAAGATGATGCGTCTACTAGCACCGCACCTCTCGTCGAGCCACAACGAGAGTATTCCATTCCTATGGATCGTCCTAGGAGGACAATTAAAAAACCTGCTAAGTACACTAGTGACGATGAAACCAATATGGTTGCTTATGCTCTTTCAGTCGCATAGGAGATTGATGGTGATCCATCCTGCTATTCTGAGGTGTTTCCTATTGCTAAGTTCAAGTAATGCTTGAGTTTAATCAGCTGTTCTAGTTGTTAATTCCACGATGAATTTGATCCAAGGTGGAGATTGTTAGACATAATTATGTGGCTCAAATTACACATGGACCATTTATCCGATGTTGGTGTCATACGTGTACATGTTCCTACACGTTCTTGCGTCTTTTGCTCTCATCCTCTGCATGCCGCTTAATTAGCTTCATTTGAGTGTATAAATAAAATTATTTGCATTTGTACTCATTCAACATCAATTTGAATTCATCTTTATCCTTTCATTCCTTACGTAGCATATATATATATATATATATATATATATATATATATATATATATATATATATATATATATATATATATATATATATTCTTTCTTATTCTCTTTTAGAGTTTAATATATATATATTTTATATTTTCCTATCCTTATTAATTTATTTTGTCATTTATATATTTTTCCTATTATTTAGCTTTTATAATTCTCAATTTTCGATTATTTGCTTCCGTATTATTCCGCTATATTCCTAACAGTCTCAGTGCCTGTGCGTCGCCGATCATCGAAGCAGTACGCTGGAGACCCCAGTCATTTCATCAAGTTCCATGATCAGACCTCCGGATCACCGCTGCAACCATGATGTCCGATCATGATGTCCAGGCGTCGCAACCTTTTTCTGATCATCCTTTAGACGATCGACACCCATCATCGGATCATCCTCGCGATCTACTGACGGGCCCAGTTCGGTCATCGGCCTGAACCCAACGGCGGCCAAACTCCATTGATCATTCTCGTGACATCCCCTTCATGAATTCCATGATCGTCGATAATTGGGCGTTGGGCGGACTACTACTTCTGCCTTAAGATGTTTGGCGCTCAACAATTCACGCACAATCTCTAGATGAAGTTAAACAACTCCATCGAGCACGTCGTCTCGTGCCGAGCACAGATCTGCGGGAAGCATGCCAGGATCCTGTGCGCGTTCGGGCATATCTGGGCCGGAAGTACTTGGTAGTAGCCCAGGAATGCGGTCAAGAGGGCGGAGAAGGGGAATGTGATCGGGGCCTGCAGCGAATCGTAGTGCATCCCGATCCACATCCCCTGATGGCGCTCGATTATGTTGCCCAGATGCCGTCGGGTGTCGACCTGCACCCGACCTGCACCCCAGTCGTCAACAAGCACTCTTGCTGCTCGACGCTCTCGCTGTTCAAGAATACGAGTCCGTCATCGGTTGGCGCAGCTGGTGCGGCCGGGTCCTCTTCGGCTGGGTCTGGTGTGGCTTCCCGATCGTTTGACAGAGGGGTGGCCTGGGGGTACGCCCCAATAACCTGGGTCGGCATTTCTCGAACGGCTTCAGCCGAACGTCGCCCGCTCGTGGAGGTTTCGCCTCTATCGCTTCCGCTGCTCGATCCGCTCGAGCTGGACGACCCTTCCGAGCTGGACGACCTTTGTCGTTCGGATGCTTTCTGTGGTCGTTGAATGACCTCGAGTGAGGACGCCTCTATGTCCACTTCCTCGCTTAGCTGCTCGACCGCGTCGTCGTAGTCCGCGCCCGAGATGTTCTGACTGTCCGAATCTGACATTTTCTTCTCCTAAAGGGCGGTCAGGATTTCAGTTTAGGGGTCGGGGTATGGTCCGGTCGTGGTCAGTTAAAGCCCGTAGTCGGCCGTTATGAGTTGAAGTAAAAACGGAAAAATGAAAAGATAAGAAGGTGAGAACTTACCGATCAGTTAATGTTCGTTGAGAAGGCTGAGAGTTCTTAGCTCGATCGTTGTTCTGTGTTGGTTGCTCGGGATGCTCCGATCGACTTTCACAGGTGGTAGAAGTTCAAATAAATTTCAGGAAGCCTTATTTATAGGAAAATTTTGGGCGGGAAATGGCCCACTTGCGCGAGGTGACCGTTCCGGACTCCGAGGCGACTGTTGCAGTCTCTGAGGCGCGCAGAAGTCAACACGTGGCACGACAGGTGACAGCTGTCCGGTCGGGATTGGCAGCGGCTGATTGGACTTCTTCATCCCGTCCCATGTTTCCCGGGCGGTTAAAAAGGCCCGGGCTGGGGGGCTCTTGGTAGGGAATACCCCGACCGACATGCCACGTGTTTTACTGTTATTTATGCAGGTTTACAAGTCGGATATTCCCGAAGGAACCCGGTCGGACCCGACTGGTGCATCTTCCGACCGATGTCTTCGACACCCGATCGACGGCCCTTGGACGAGAGGGCCGAGAAGAAGCACGTGGCAACGTTACGCGCTGACAGGCAGGGTTCGCGGGGTGAAGACACGTGGGTGCTACGTGGGTTACATGCCGGCCGGCCGGAACTGTGTCTCCGACCTAGCGGCTATAAATACCCACGGCGGCTACAGTGTGGGGGACTTTTGGAGACGATCGATAGGCTATTTACAGAGCTGCCCGACCACAGTCAGTCTGCCCTCGGAATAGCCATTTTAGATTGTATTAGGTCTTTCATTGATCAATAAAAGTCTTTGTTTGCTTTACTTGATCTTCTTTAGTATCTTGACCGCTCTACGTGGAATTTATACTATCACACATCATATAAACGTTTAAACTCCAAACACTTAAACAATTTTAAGCATCAAACATCAACATTTAACTGTATACAAACATCCATAGATTTTATGGGTGAAAAAGCTAAGTTTTAGGTTTCTATGGGTTATACCTCAAGCTTCAACCTCAAGAATCCTTCCATCTCCAACCTCAAGCTAGGTCTTCTTCTTTACCATCTCCATTTCTCAAGCAACAACCAACACAAAACCCAAAAACACATCTAAGCTTATATAATCTATCTCAAAGACAAGCTAAGAGAAATTGAAAAGGGAGGAAGAAGAGAGAAACTTACCCAAGCTTGAATCTCAAGTCTTGAACCTAGACTTTGCTAGAAGAAGCTCTAAAATGAAGAAGATGATGGAGAGGGAGAGAGACTGGAGAGAAAGATGAGAGATGAGATGCTAATTTTGGTGGAATGAATAGTGAAGTAAGGGAAAAACATTATTCTTTATAGTTAGGGTTTTGAGGACAAAAATGTAAAATAAAATTGTAGGGTTCACCTTGCATCATGAACCAATGGCTAGAATTCAAGATTTAAAATAGTTTGGGGTTAAAATGAATTTTCCAAAAATGATTTCCAGACAAACACTTGGTTTAGATTTCTCCCGGTCTCACTTAGATTGGTTTCTCAGTTTAAAACTTGGTACGCGAAGTACCCGAAAATTTAGGATTTTGGAATTAAAATAAGTTTTGGTGTTGAATTGATTTAATATGTGCTCAAAATAATTTATTCAAACACCAATTTATCGCAAAAATTTTTAATGGAGTGAAAATGACTATTTTAGAATTTCTAAAAATTGAATTTATAAAATTAAATTTTGGGTTATCACACACATATTGTTGAGGAGTTTAAATACCTTCCGATGTATCTTAGAGACTTCGGTGATGAACCATCTTTAGGGAACTTGCAGGTTTCAACAAATCTGACAGTTAAATAATTACAAGACTTTGATAGATAATATAATATATGAAAAGTAGAAACAAAAAAAAAAAAGAAAAAAGAAAAAACAAGGCCAGTCCAACATACTTTGCTGTTGGACCATCCCAGTTTTTAGCATTTCCTTCATTCATAGAATAGATCTTTCCTTTCTTTGGGATCTGTACTAAACGAATAGTGATAACTGATAAGTCGAGCTAAATAAATATGCAGTACTTAAGTTGTACATACAACCTAGAAAGAAGATATCAAATGGAATTAACAGTTTTCCTTTTGGGTAAATAAATATTCTAAAAATGAATGGTAAAGATTAGCCTGAACATTCAAAGTCTTTGGTATAAACCCCCCTGAAAATCAATAGAAATTCAATGACAAAACAATTTGTTGGAGACTCAATGCATCAGAAGTAGCATTACCAAACAACCATACCTTGATATCTGGATGAGTTAGTATGAATTCCCCTAGTAATGGATCAAGGGTAAAGCCATTAACTCCAGATCCAGTGCTCAACACAAACTGCAAATTAAATCACTGAAATATCATGACGAGACAGACAATAGAGCCTTAATCCTTGTATGCAAAACACTTTTCTTATCAGTTTGTATCCTATAACACCAGCACTTGTGTGTGCCTTACCAATAGAGCCAATCCATTAGACCATTAGTTAGTTTTTTCATATCTGAACAATTTGCAATCTCTATGTGATCAATATGAGTCCCAGTGTCCAACCTTCTTTAACATTGTGAGAAGATTTATGAATCAAACATGAGCAGAACAACAAAGTAGCAATCATATCTATGTAAATACTCACAAAAGTTGTTCTGAACAAGCTTTTTTCAACTAAAATATAACAATAATGCCTAAAATTCGAAATAAATTAATAATAATTCAAAATATAATATCAATAAATCCTAAAATGCAAATATATATTCCAAATATATAACCAATAACATATAAAATTCAAAATATATACCTTATAATTCCTAAATTCAAAATACATTAATAAATAATTCAAATATAATTATTGAAACTCTAATAATTCATAAATTAAAATAATAATTTAAAAATAATAAAAAACTTACGGCGGGAAGGCGGTGCTCCGGTGCGGTGGAGGCTGTGCTGCGGTGGCTGGGCAGCGAATAAGGGAATGGCGAAAGGCGGTGGCTGGTCTGGCGGAGCGTCGGAGCAAAGGAACTGGCGGAGGCGGTGTGGCGGAGCGTCGGCGGAGGCTGGTGTGGCGAAGCGGCGGCGAAAGCTGGTGTGGCAGTGGCCGATGGCGGAGGCGGGTGTGGCTGGGCAGAGGAGAAGGAGCAGCGTGACGGTGGCTGTGCGGTGTGGCGGTGGGCGACGACGACTGCGGCGATGGGTGGTGGAGAGACGACGGCTGCTGGCTTCGATTTAAATCGCGATCGATCTGCTGCGCTGTGCGAAATGAATTGAGGACGCCGGGCCAGATCAGATCTATATTTTATCTTTAAAAGAAATAGAAATATACTATACGACGTCGGCTATTTATTTAGCCAACGTCGTATATTAAAATATTATTTAAAAAAAAAATTAAAATTGCCTACAACGTCGGCTATAAAGATAGCTGACGTTGTAGGTATTTTATTTTTATTCTATTTTTTATTTTTTTCTCTATAACGTCGGCTATTAGTATATAGCCGACGTTATAGGTTTTATTTTAAAAAAAAATTACAAAAATGATTTAACGTCGGTGATGGTTTTTGGGTTTTCAGGCCCAAGGAGGTCCAACACAACCTTTGGCTGGAGGATACACCTTTCAATAAAAATGTATGCCTATCTCGGAGATAATGCTAATACTCGGAATCTTTTTGGTATTCTCCCCTCTCCGGGTGTTCAATTGTCTGTCCTTTTACAAGAATGGAGGAGCCTTTATATAGCGGCTCCTCTTCTACCGACTTGAAGGCCCTTAATGGCCGACTTCAAGACTAATTAAGATATGGAGCCGTTGGACGCCATTACTTGGTCGGCCAACGGCTCTTCCAGGTTTGTAACAGTCTGACCGAGTCCTGCTTTCAATGCCCTAACGGCTCCCTTTTAAACAAGCTTCTTCAATGCTCTCAACGGCTCCTTGAACCGAGTCTTCTCCTGGGCTTGGGCCTTGGTCGACTCCTCGTTTCAGCCTGAGCTCCCACTGGGCTCCTCTTTAGTAGTTCTGATCCGGGCCCCGTGGCTGGGCCTGGGCCGACTCCAGGACTCGGCCCACTTGCTCTTCGGGCTCCTCAGACGCTGGCCCACTTCTCCTGTCTTGAACCATTTCCTTTGGGCCCCTATCTCTTGGGCCGGGGTCCTTACCCCATCAACTAGTCCCTCACTTTTTCATACCCGGTACGCTAGCCTGGGTTTGAAAAAGTAGCAACTGTCCATCTCCTTCAATCACTGTATCCACGCCTTGAATAGCCTTTTGTAACGCCCGGATCCTCAGCCATTCTCTCCGGATTTTACGGGGCCGTTTGGATTCTTCTGTTTAAACCTGACACCTATAAATAGCCTCTTCCCTTTCTCTCTTACCTTCTCAAGTCCATCATGGGTCGTTCTCCTCTGAAAGGAAAACGGATTGACTTCGGGTCTCCCTGGCGTCCGCTGCCTTCCAAGCGGACTCGGCCTGAAAGGGAACACAAAAAGAAGACTCCTCGCCGGCCTCTCAGAGGTCTCCTGCCGGCGCCACGTCTTCAGCTTCTCGGCCGCCGACTCCTCCTCGACGCGAGGTCGCTCCACCTTCACGCCATCCGCCTACTCCCACAACTGCCCGAGTGACTTCCCAAGACGGGTCCTTTGTTGAGGTGGCGGTTCCAGAGCAACTTACTTTCAGAATGACCTTCTCCATTCCGCTGGACGACCTGGACGGGCCGGTTACGGGCCTGATGAATGATGAGGACTACGCCCGCTACCTGGAGGCGTATCCGGATGATGAGGAGCCAATCGCGCCACCACTCATGCCAGCATTCTGGGACTCGTTCTGTCCATCCCCACCTGGACCATCGGGGGGATTCTTTGGGGGCGACTCCTCCTCGCCCGGCGAGTGATCGTATGTACCGGGGTCGGCCGTAGTTCGGAGGGATCTTTTTTAGGAGCATTTTCATATTCCTTATTGTAATAAGCTCCTTGCTACTTGTACCCTCCTTTTCTACAATAATAATAAGAAATGCTATTTTCTCCTTGCCTTATGTTTTGTCGTGTTCTATTTCGTATCCATCCGGACGACTGGTCAAGGAGTCGGTCACGTCATCAGACTCTTTTCAGTCTGACACCTGCAAGATTCCCCGTATCTTGGGCGAATCCAATCTTCTCTGCGTTGGTGTGCGAATCTCACTCTTCCCGAGCGGATCTGATGGAACTAATCTCTGACAGAGATTCGCGTCATCCGTCTAATCCGGCTCAGTTATGTCAGTTATAATCTCCTCCGTGATTATCGCCTAGATATTTGCCTTCGTTGGGCTATATAAAGGCCCCTCACAGTTGATGCAAATCGCAACACTCTCCACTTTGCGAAGGTACAGCGCTATGAGTTACAGGGATGGTGATCGCCGCTGGTCCATTCGTAACAAGGAGCATGCTCGCCTGGAACAGTTGAGGCAGAAGAGGTTGGCTAACGGAGGTCGTTTGGTGGGCGACTCGGCTTCAGACCCCATTGTGGTGCCTCCAGACATGCTGGACCTGATGTGTAGGGAGCCTATCGACGTGGAGATGGAGCCTGTGGTGGAGGATCCAGAACCAATGGTGGAAGAGAAGTGGGAGGCTCCTCCCCTCTTTGGTGTTGCCATGTCGCCGAGCGCCTTGGAGAGGCCCTTGCAAATGATCGATGACGGGAAGCCCGCCGTGTATCTGGACGAAATGCCTGAGCCTGAGCCGAGTCCTCTGCCTTTCCGCTCTCAGTACCTCCTGGAAGGCCCTCCGACTGCTCGCCCGTCGACGGAGAAAGAAGCCAAGCCTTGACTCGTTTTTCTCTTGTAATTTGCATCGGCCGAGTTCTGGGCCTTGTAATCTTCGTACTAATTAAATAAACTGTGTGTTTTTCTGTCCGACCCCATATTTTCTTAGTATTTTGTCGTCCGACCTCTGGTCTATGGGACTGATTCCTAGTCTCGCTATGGCGAGACCCTTCTGGTGAGGGAGTCGCCGAGTCTGATTGCCGGCCTGGCGACCGGAGTCTCTTCGTGAACTCGGCTGATATCATTCGATGAGCCGGGTTCTACCGGGTCGTTCTAGAAGCTTCCAGCTCGTATCTCGTGGGCCCAGAGGCCATGGCCCACTACACGCTTCCGGCTTAGCAGGCCGGGTCACTGACGTTCGACCCTAGCCTAGGGCAAACGCGCCGTCTGTGGGCTAACCCTAGGCCTGAACCGTCGCCCCGCCTTTTGAGGCATTAAATGCGGCGTCCCTTCATATCCCGTCACCTCCACTTCCTCCAACGAGAAGGTGGCACGTGGCCGTCCTTTGAAATTCCTCCCCTTTAAATATCCATTTCGTCTCTCTTTCCATTCTTCTTCTCCAGTCTTTCCTTTCAACTTCAACTTTGAGCTTCTCCGGCCACTCTGTACTTCCTCCGATCTCTCTCCTGACTTAGGTAATGTCTTCTTCCTCACATTCTTCTTCTTCCCGTCGTTACTCGGTTGATAACCCGGAGGCGACCTCTCCCTCTTCTTCTTCTCCTTCTTCGTCTTCTTCTTCTCCTCCCCGTCGTATAGAACTCCCGGCGGACGTTCCATCGACGTCTTCTCTTCGTCGTATGGAACTTCCGGCGGACGTTCCATCGACGTCTTCTCTTCCTCCGACCCCCTCTTCTTCGGGGGCGGTTACTCCGTTGAGCCCCGCTCCTTTGACGACGGTGGCGGCTCTGCCGGGTGGCATCGGACGGCCGCGGGGCAAGTTCGATTCCATCGTCCGCCCTTCCGGGCCGCCGTCCGTCGTTAAAGCGGTGGACCTGGAAATGGCCCAATACCTTCTTGGGCCTTCAGCCGTAGTCCTCGCCCCGGAGGGCCGGCAAATTTACGACCCCCCCGAGGGTTGTGTCGGCATTCACTTGCACTCGGTTGCCTTTGGCTTCCGAGTTCCTCCGTGTCCTTTCCTTTCCCTTTGTTACCGCCATTATAACTTAGTTCCGGGCCAATTAGTGCCCAATTCTCACCGACTCCTCACCTGCTTTGTCAACCTCTGCCACTGGTGGTTGTGCGAGCCGGATCTAGACCTGTTCCGTTATCTCTTCACCGTGAACAAGGCTGGCTCGCACTCGCTGGGCTTTGTTCAAGTTGCCGCTCGCCCGGGGCGACAGCTTTTCGAGGGGCTGTCTGATTCCATTAAGGACTGGAAGCTCCTCTACTTCTTCGTCCGCCCTGCTTTCTCTTCCTTCACCTTTCCGACCTTGTGGCCGGCCGCTCTATTTAAGCCTTGCTCTCGGCGTGCCGTCCCTTCCGATGATGCGGTCCTGGGCGGCGAGTTCTTGAAGGGCTTTGGGCCGTACTCCGTCAAGTACTGGTCCCGAGTCCGGGCCATG